GAGGAACCTCTTGGCCCTGGCAGGGACCAGTAAGCAAGACACCTGACCCTGGTGTGGAGCAGTGGAGCCAGACGGCCTCACTGTGTGGCCTAAGGAGTAATGTTAGGGACCCAGCTAGACAAGGTGGGGGAGCCTGGAGGAGAAGCGATGTTTTTAGGACTGCATAGGCTCTCCTCTGCTCCTGGATGAAGATGACGAGCATGGTAGGGGTCTATTTCATTGACTCTGAGCATCCTGCCTGTCTTGGTATAGGGGGCTTGAGTTTGTCCTCACTGAATTTGGGAAAACAAAACCACAGATGCCCTGAGTGTTTCAGGTATTTAATCCACACCTGTCATAGTAAAAGGTAATAGGGTCTTGATTTAGGAAAAAAAAAAAAAAAAATCAAGAAAAAATGGTCTAGATAGCAAAGCCTCATGATAAGAAATCAAAATTTGATTTATAATTTATCCTCATTTTAGAACAAAAAACTCTAATTAGAGAAACGAAACATCTGTTGTCCTAGAAGGAAATATGTCTAATGTGAATCCCTTCACATGCACCTGTACACCCCCAAGCCAAGCCCTGAAGGTTCAGGAACAGCAGTCTCAGAGCTGGTGGTTCAGTGTGAACAGACTACTGACCCCAGCAGCTCACCTCCTTTCTCCAGTTCCTTCCACAAACAACATGCAGGTCCACGGATTTCAGTTGTGCACATTTCCCAGCGCTGCTTGCCGGCAACCTCCCAAGTCCTCTTTTAAAGGTCACCCAAGTTTGTTCTAAATAGAGTTAACTGTGAACTCTGATTCAGCGCTTTTCTGAGGTCTGCCAAGTCACGCCTCCCCAGGACCTGTCTTCCAAGCCCCGCCCCCTGGACTTCGCCTCCTAAGCCGCGCCTCCCTGGACCAGCCCGTCAAGCCACGCCTTCCCAGGTCCTGTCTCTCAACTTCCTGCCTCCCTGGATCAAGCCTCCAAAGCCCCGCCTCTCTTAGGCCATGCTTCCAGGGGCCCAGCCTCAGAGCATCTTTTGGCTGGAGCAGCTGATAGGAGGTGCCGCTGTTTTCTGCTTTGTGGCCCCGTGTGAATCATCATGCCCCTGTTGCTAATGCAGATGGGCCCTAACAACCATCGTCCAGTTGAAAGATTTGCTTCTCACTGAGTGACACGTCATTGATGCCACAGAGTTCTTTTACCTTGTAAAGCAAGCAGGAGAGGGTAGGTAGGCTTGGAATCTTCACTGGGACCAAAACAGTTTGTTTCAAGTGTAAGACGTCATTTTTTCAGTAAGGTGTGGTGACCCAGGTGCATGCAATTGTCACAGCTCATTAACTGTGCACCTATAAGCAACATCTTTTATTGAATGTAAATTATATCTGAATTAAAAAGGAAACTAACAAAAACCAGGATACGAGGCCAGAGAAGACGACCAGGGGCTCCTGAAAGTCATTAGTCCTCATGGGAGAAGAGGTGTAAACAGGGAGGAAGTGTGGTGGAAGAATGCATCATCTCTTTGAGATAACAAGGAAACCTCAAACAAACCCCAAATGAGGAAGGGTCTATTCATCAGAAGGGAGGCAGCATACTCTTAAAAAATGCCTGTGTCATTAAAAGCAAAGAAAAGCTGTAGAAATGATCCAAGTTAAGGAATCTCGGGGCGCCTGACTGGCTCAGTAGGTGGAATGTGTAGACTCTTGAGTTTGGGGTTGTGGGTTGAAGCCCCATATTGGGTGTAAAGTTAACTAAAAACAAAAATAAATAAAGGAAGCTTAAGAGTCATGACAACTAAATGCAGTGCCTGGTTAGACAAGATCCTGCCCTTGGGAGAGAAGGAATGCCATACAGGTCAATATGAGATCAAGTGATAACTTGAGTATAGACAGTATATTAGGTAAAGGTATTGTGAATATAGATTATGACTCTGATTATTGTAGCAGGTAGGACAATATTCCTATTCTTAGAAAACACATACTGAAGGATTTAGGAGTAAAAGGCCATTTTGTATCTAACCCTGAAATGGCTCAGAGAATAATTTCATGTATGTATGTGTGAAAAAAATATATACATGTATGTACAAAAGAATTTCCTCATTGCTTACCTTGGGGAAAAGAGTGAAAAAAGTACAAGTTTGGGTCTTGTTGACAATGCCGGTTCAAAGTTTGTCAAGTATTTTTCCAATATTGGCACCTCTAAACAAGGAAGATTTTTATCCAACATCTCCTATCAGTAACTCCTGGAAGCCACATCATACCCGTAGCTGATTCATGAAACCTTTCATTCCGGGTCAGGTCACTGTTACCTGGAGAAGAACACAGCCCAGGCAAAGTTTATGCACTGGGACAGGGGCATCTGTTCAGTGATAAGGGAGGGGAGGGGAGAGGAGGAAGGGGGAGAGAGAGAGAGAGCACACAAACCATACATTTTACAAATGAGGTAAGATGTTAACAATAGGTAAATCTGGGTAAAGGATATAGAAAGGTGTTCTTTGTACAGTTTTTCTTTTTTGCACTTTTTTTTTTACAAATTTGAAATTATTTCCGTGTGTGTGTGTGTGTGTGTGTGTGTGCGTGCGCGCGCGCGCTTTACCATTGGTGATGAGGGAGCTGGAAAGAGTTCCAACGCCTTTGCAGCATCAACTGGTGTCCAGAAGGCATTGGCTGCTGACTCAGATTCGTGTCAGTATTCCAGGTGATGGTAGTCACCATGGCAATTATATTGCTTTCATAGTCATAAATGGATATTTCTCAAGCAATAAAAGCTAGGTTGCTTATGTTACAAACCTGGGAGAATATATGAGAGAATTTCCTTATTGCTTATTTTGAGAAGAAAAGGAAAAATGTTCAGGTGTTTTGTTGACAAGGCATGCTGGAGGTTGGGCAAGTATTTTTTTTTAAACATCTATACCTCTAAACAAGCAGAATATTATCAGGACACGCTCCTTCAATCAGTAACTTCTGAAAGCCACATCATACCTTCAGTTGATTCATGAAAACCTTGACTCCTGGGTCAGGTCACTGTTATTTGGACATAAGCATGACATAGGTACAGTTTATATGTTGGGACATTTACATCTGTTCTGTTTCATACCAAAATTTGCCAGGATGACCCTAGCAGCATTATAGTGGATTTGGGAAAGGAAGGGGTGTCCAGTGACCTCTCAGTGGGCTTCCAAAGACCATAGTGTCTGACCTTGCTCTGAGCTCAGTGGACCCTTTGCCCCCAAAAGTGGCCACAACCCCTGCTCACTCCCTGGGGGATCTGCTATGAAAGTGGATGGGACTCTGCCTCCTGCCCACACTGTAGTTGGCCAAGCACACATGACAGTGATTATGACCCTCTTCCCCCCCACACAAAAAGAAAATGTGGGATTCATTTGTTCGAGCACACTTCCCAGGCAGATGGGAAGCTCCCCCTGTACCCCACCTCCTTCTGGGAGGGTTAAAAGGACAGGTTGCACCTGATTCTCAAATCTGCAGTTTGGACTCTGGAATCATGAAGCGGAGTATTTTCTCTCAACCGTTCATCTGATAAAGATGGGACTATTTGGGGAGCTTAGAAATTCAACTGTGTAATGAACGTTGCTGCCTCTTTGTCCGCGTGTGTAAAACCAAACTGAGGTGCCACCTTCGGGGACCTAAACCCAGGTGGCAAAATAGGTGTGTGTCACAGGCAGGCTTTCATTCTTTGTCCTTCCTGGTCATACCATGTGAGTTCTTCAAGAAGAGAGTGTTGAGAATAAGAGTCCACTTTATCTGCAGCGGGTCTGGGAGTCCTCTCTGGTCCTGAAGCAAAGCTGAGCCAAAGGGTCCGTGGGAGGGGAGATGAGCATCAGAGATGGAGACAGGAGAGCCAGCTGGAAGGGTTATATGGAAGAGACGGAGTCGCTGCTTGCTGGCTGCATACAGCCCTAGAAGAAGCTAGGGACACCATACCCCCTAATCTGCCAGTAGACACCCCAGAGGTAGACAAGGAGATAGTGGCCCTGTGCCCCTGGACTTTGAGGAGCCAGTGGCATCAGGGCTGCCCTCCAGCTGTTGCAGGGCATGGCCTGACCAGGGCTGGAGTTACAGAATGTTTGGCCCTCCAGCCCCTGTATCCTGCCCCCTACTTATGCCAGTCGCCTCAGTCTCAGTAACAATCTGTTGATAACTTATTCCACTGCTACAATGTACCTGAGCACTTTATAGGTGTTACCTTATTTATGTTCACCTGTTATCTTTTTTCCTTTAAAATATTTTTCAGCTTTATTGGGATATAATTAACATTGATATAAATAACACTGCGTAGGTTTAATATACATGTGCATTTGTTGAATGGTTACCAAAGTGAGGTTAGCTAACATGTTCATCGTGTCATATAGTTACCGTTTGTGTTTGTGAATTGAGAACTCTCAAGATTTACTCTCTTGGCACCTTTGTATACAATAAATATTGGCCTGTTCTCTTTTTAAAGATAAGGAACCAAAGGCTGACAAAAGGTAGCTTACCAAGGTTGAAAGGTTTTTAAGTAGTGGGTTCAGGATTTGGAACCAGAATAGTCTGGGTCCAAAATCTCTTATGCTCTTTTACCACACTGTGCACAAGTACACACACCCACACCCATAGACAACACACACACACACACACACACACACACACACACACACACACATTATATGGGACTTTGCAACCTCTTTTTTAAGAGGGAGCTTGGTACAGCTTGTCATATTTGATCCTAGACAGTCTGCAGTCCCTGCTGCTTACAAAGACATAGTGATGGTTGACCAGAAACCTCTGGACGTCCTATGGCAGCTGGTACTTTATCCCCTGGCAGGCATTGTCTCCAATATGGCTACACATGTTGGCAGGGGCTTTCTGCTGGGACTTGAGAATCTTGGTTTGAGCTGCCAAGGTCAGCAGTTTTGGTAAAAACCAACAGGCCATGTGAGTGGAAACTGTCAGTGGGCTGGGCTGGGTCCGGTGCCGGAGAACAGCCAGTCTCATGACCTCAGGTCGCTTGCCATCTTCTCCTCCCTGTCTTTGCAGCCAACCTTGGTTTGAGACCCAGGGCGATGACTCTTGGGAAGCCACCAGTCTACCAGGGGCCTGTGGATTGCATTGCAACCATCGTGCGGACCGAGGGCCTGGCAGGGATGTACCGGGGTGTTGGTGCCATGCTGCTGAGGGATGTCCCAGGCTATTGCCTCTACTTCATCCCCTATGTGTTCCTGAATGACTGGATCACACCCGAGGCCTGCACAGGCCCCAGCCTCTGTGCTGTGTGGCTGGCAGGCGGCATGGCAGGTAAGGGCAGCCGTACTGACCCCTGCACTTGTGCTGATGCCCTGTATTGGGAAGGCTGGGGAGCCCATCATGCCCTTCTCTGCCCCAGGGAAGGGCACGGTTCACCTAGTTACTCATCCAGTGAGTATTTGGTAAGCACCTGCTATATGCCAGACCTAGCCAAACAAAGGAAGGGCTGGGAATAGAGAATGGTCTCCCTCTTTTCCGCATCTCCTTCCCTCTGGACCTATGAGAACAGCAAGTCCCTATTTGGGATCGTTGAACCTTCGGTCAGAAGATATATTCTCCCCTTTCATTCTGGGTCAGGTCTCCTTGAGCTCTGAAAAGGAAATCTGTTATCATGGTTCACCTTTTTTCAATGTCGGCACATAGCAAACCTTTCTAATGTGAGCATTTCATTAGCTCTGTAAGGGAGGCATCAGTCTCCCCATTTGTCAGATGAGAAAACCGAGGTTCAGAGAGACTAGGTGACCCACCCAAGGGCACACAGCTAGTGCATGCAGACAGTACAGCAGGGACTCTGTAGTCAGTGAGATCCCAGTTCAAATCCACACTTACTCAGCTTGTGACCATGGACTGGTTTCTTCACCCCCCTTCTCAGAACTCATACAGCATCCCCCTTTCCTTTAGGGTAAAAATCAATGTTCCCGCAGTGGTTTTCAGTCCCTTTATGATCCAGCTGTCTCTTGCCCGTCTGCACTCAGCTCCTGCTCTTGCCCCTGTACGTGCTCTGCTTCAGCCACGCTGGTCTCCTTGCTACGGCATGACCGTGCCTGGCTCCTCCCCACCACGAGGCCTTTGCACCTGCTGTTCCTGCTGCCTGGATTTAGCCATATGTAGGTCATCAGGGACTGTGACAAGACCCATGTTGGTGAAGGGTGTGAACACCCAATTGAAGAGAGATCGGGAGAGAAGGGGATGGAAGAAACAGGATAGTCCAAGTACACACGACACCTCTGAGGGGCTTGGTGGTGCTGTGAGGGGGACGGGGACGAGAGGTATGCAGCTAGAGCCAGAGCAGGGTGTGGAAGCCAACAGGGGGTTGCTTCTTAAGAAGGCTGAAAACGTGGCATGTGTGATGCTGTGGGGAAAGGTCTGGAAAAAAGAAAATCGTCGTTGCTCCTCCACTTCCTGCTTCTCCTCCCCCTCCTCCTCATTAGCTATGCTCAAAACTCAGCAAACACATAACAAAGTCCGTGTCTTAGCCACCAAACACCAGTGTCCAGCCCGCTGCCCCCGTGTGTCTGCGGCCTGGCCAGAGCTAGCTCCTAGTAAGGGCTTAGTAAGCACTTGCCGATGGAGGACAAACAAGGCCCCATCCACTCTCATTTCTGCTGAGAGCAGGTATGAGGGGCCTGGTAGGCAGACCTCACTTTGTAATACCCTTGCCCATGGGCTAAGGAACCAGGGAATATGCCAGGGCAGCACCTGGACAGACTCCAGGAGAATCAGCTTTGTTATTCCGGCAGGAGTCAAGAGGAAGGGGAGGTCCAGAGGGTTCCCAGAGGGTCACGGGCAGGAGGCCATGGGGCTTGGAGGCTGGGATGGGCGGAGGGCCCAGGGCAGGCTAGGACCGCTTTTGGGAGCTCCTGGGCAGCAATTACAAAACCTTGCAAACAGCTGCCTTGGACTTTGGCATCAGTTTGTTTTTCTCTTCCTGTCCAAAAATGTGCCAATTTCTGTGTTTATACAATAACCTGGCATTGTTTTCCTAGAGTCCTTTCAAGTCACAAAGGTGCTCAAACTGGGGCACCTGAGTTTCTCCACCAATGATGAGCCAGGCTTGTGTGGTCTCAAGGCCTCTATGTCACACCTCTGGAAAAGTCACAAGATTTCTAAAGACCTGCCCCTGCTCTTTTCCATCTCTGGGCTGGTCTCTCCCTGGCAAGCAGCCTACCTGCAAGTGTTTGTTTAGCTTCTCTGTATGCAGAGTTGCTTCTGTCTCTGGGGAGCTGCAAGCCTTCAGCCTCAGGCGTCGCTCTGGGCTCTCACCCTTGGTGTCCTGGAAGGGTGCTGCAGAGTATTGGTGGGGCCTGTTCCTGCTTCTCCAGTAAAAGCTGCTAATAAAGGCATCCACTTAGGAAGCTCTGGCTGTGGGCCTGGCTCTGTGCTAGACATTCACGTGCATCCGTTTATTTGTCCTCACAGTAACCCCATGAAGATGGGTGCTGGTGCCCCACTTTACAGATGGCAGACCCAAGGCCTGGAGGAAGAGACTTCTGTAAAGTCCCACACACAGCAAGTGATGAGTGAGGTTCAGAGAAACCTTTGCAGCTCCTGACTGAACTCTTTCCACTTCCCCCAGCAGCTTGTTAAGCCTGTTAGTGGTGGAAATGGGCAGGGAGCCACGTCCCCTCCAGATCCCAACCAGCCAGTCCCTGACACTTGTTTGTCTCTCTCTTTACAGGAGCAATTTCTTGGGGGACAGCGACTCCTATGGATGTCGTGAAAAGTCGACTCCAAGCTGATGGGGTTTATTTAAACAAATACAAAGGTGTCCTGGATTGTATCTCCCAGAGTTACCAGAAGGAAGGTCTTAAAGTAAGCCCCACAGTAGTCATACGGGGTCAGTGTCAGTCCCTGGAAGGTGGGCCAGACGTTTGGGGGGTATGTGAGGTTACAGAGAGGGGAATCAGGAAACTAAAGTGCTCACAGTTACCATATCAAGCACGACTTGAGATTCTTGTCTCATTTAGTCCTTGCCGCAGGCTGGTGGAGGAGACAGAGGTTCAGAGAGGACTAGTAACCTACCTGAGGTCACACAGCTGGTGCATGGCAGAGCCAGGGCCTAGACCCACATCTGTGTGTCACCAAAGCTTCTCTTTCATAGGGATAGGCTGAGAGCTGCTTCCTCACTCACTGCTCAGTGCCTCACTCTCCTGCAAGCTGGGGGCCCCAGAGCTACCTGAGTCATCACATCTCCCAGTGTCTGGTCACTTGGTCTGTCTTCTCTCTCATCCCACTTGAGTCCTTACACCATCACCTCTGGTCTCAACTATGAGGCAGCCTCCAACATGGCCTTGTCTCCCTTCTCTTTCCTCTTCCCTGCACCCAAAGGGCTCATTTAAACCCATGCCTCTTCCAGTCAGCAGACTCGAGTTTAAAGGCAGCCTGGCAGCCTGAGCTGGGGGGAACATCCAGGCAAGTTGCTTCACTGCTCAGCCTCTGTTTTTCCAAGGATAATCATCCCTACCGTGAACAAGGGGGATATTTGTCAGTGAAATACAAAAAGTGCCTAGCTTCGTGCGTAACACAGTATATTTAAAAAGAGCTACTTGTCATTGGCTTTAGTATTAGTTTAATTAGTGCAAATGTCACTACTGAGCATTGGGTCTTTGCTTATATGTGTCGCATCCCCAAATATATGCATACGTATATATGTATATATGTATGTGGATGGATAGATAATTTTTTTTTTTTTTCTTCAATGGAGTACTGGAACTTCTCTGGAAACCTGGACTTCCACAAAGCCTCTTTTGTCTGCACATACATCTACATGTACATGTATATGTATGCATACACAGACACACACACACACACACATATATATACACACATATACTTATATATATATGTATATGTATATTTGGCTTCAGTGGAGTGCTAGAACTTCTCTGGAAACCTGGACTTCCACAAAGGCAGTAGTCAGTAGTAGTCAGTAGGTGACTAACCAAGGCAGTGTTCTCCAGGTGCTCCCAGACAGCAACTGAGGGGGCTGGAGCCAGGTCATACATAGGCTGCTGCAGGTTCCACCGGCAGTACTGAGGTCTGTCTGCCTAGTACCTGATACACAGAGGGACAGGACTCTGGGGTACTTGACATGTGATCCTGGATCCCATGACTCCCTCAGAGGCACCTGTCTTTGTGGATGGATGTCCAGTTTTTGTTGTTGAGGTGGGGTCAACACAGGGACATCTTGTACTGCCATGATACTGACATTACTCTATGTATTTACTTTTATTGAGGTCTTTATATCTTCATACAGCTTCAAGTTACTCTCTAGTGCCATTTCATTTCACTCTCCAGGACACCTTTGAACATTTCTTGCAGGGTAGGTCTTGTGATCATGAACTCCTTCAGCTTTTGTTTATCTGAGAATGTCGTAATTTCTCCCTCAGTCTTGAAGGATAGTTTTGCTGGATATAGGATTCTTGATTGACTGTTTTTTCTTCTTTTAACACTGGATATGTTGACCTACTGCCTTCTTGTCTTTCAAGTTTCTAATTAATAATCTGCTGGTAAACTTATTGAGGATTCTTTGTATGTAATGAGTTCCTTCTATCTTCCTGTTTTTAAAAGTTTGATTATAATGTGTCTTGGCTTGGATCTCCTTAAGTTTATTTTGCTTGGAGTTGGTTAAGCTTCTTTGATGTTTATATTCATGTCTTTCATCAAATTTAAGAAGTTTTTAGGAAGTAATTTAGGAAGTTTTTGGCCTTTATTAAGCAAGTTTTTAGCCTTTATTACTCCAAATATTCTCTGCCCCTGTCTCCTTTTGCTTTCTGGGATGTCCACAATGCATGTATTGGTTTGTTTGATAGTTTCCCACAGATCCCTTAGGCTGTTTTCACTGTTCTTCAATCTTGTTTCTATTTCTCAAACTCAATAATTTCCGTTGTCATATTTTTAAGTTTGCTAATTCTTTTTTCTGCCTGCTCAAATATACCTTTGAATCCTTATTGTGAATTTTTCATTCCAGTTATTGTATTTTCAGCTGCAGAATTTTTGTGGGTTTTTTCTGGGTTTTCTGTTTCATATTGATGTTTTTGTTTTTGTTCATATATTATTTTCTTGGTTCTCTCCACATTTTCGTGTAGTCTTCAAGCATCTTTAAGACCCTTGCTCTAAAGTCTTTGTCATGTAAATCTGCTGTCAGGTCTTTTTCAGGGACAATGTCTCTTGACTTATTTTTTCTTCTTCTTTAAATGGACCATACTTTCCTGTTTCCTTTGAGGCCTTGTTATTTTTTATTGGAAACCTGACATTTGAATCTAATAATGGGTTAACTCTGGAAATCAGATTTGGTGTCTTTTGTTATTTTTGTTGATTGTTACATTTTTGTAATTGTTTTAGGCGGTCTCTATGCCAAAGATCAGCCTGAAATGTAAACTCGAGGTCTTTTCACGTCTTTTCTGAGCCTTTCTTTGGGTATGCACGGTTACTTTCTAATTTTCCCCATACATGCAGTTCCTTTTTAATGTCATAGTCTTTAATGTCTATCTCCCAAAGAGGAAAAAGAGAAAAACCAAGGGGGAAAGGGTCATCAGCCAGAGGAGGAAGGGTTTGCATCAGTGAAACAATAATGACTACCTCCCTGTTTACACCTCTGTGATCAGAAGCAGCAGTCAGTGATCAAAACATAGATCTCTAATATTTGGAGAACAGGGTCCTTATTGCCCACTCTGGCTTCCAAAAGCTATGTGTGCAGGTTGCTCCTCCAGCATAAATCCAGCTGCCTGCCACAGGTCTGGGGGGTGAGGGAGGGGTAGCTGCTACCTTGCTAAGAGCTAAAATTGACTGCACTTAACCATATTTACTGTGCAAAGCTTCTCCTGGAAGTTGTAAGGATTCGCCAAACTGTAGAATTTCAAAAAAGTTACATCAGACAGATTCCATCAGTGCAAATTTTATCTAGGTAAGGAAACAGTTGGCTGGCATTTCCTATTCTGCCACCTTCCTAGAATCCTCACTTCACTTGTCTTTTGTATTATTTTAGTAGAAGCACAGTTTGTGATTCAGTCAACTACAGAGGGACACATAAGAGACATTCGCATAGGATGCTTCTTTATTTGAGATACTTTGTCTGCTATTATTAATGTTTCAAAAAATTCAAGTTAATGTATCAAAATATTTATGTTATAATTCTATAAAGTCTATAGAGGCTAAATATATTGCTGATATTATTTCCTCCAAAAATTACTGTGCTCTGTTAAAAACAAAGTCTGGGAAGGCAACTGAGGTCAGATTATAGATTTCTTAATCTCAGTAGCATTTGGTTCAGTTTATATTCAGAGACAGGTTTTAAACAGAGGCAGCCATATTTAGCTTGATTAACCACTCATTGACTGAAATTAATTTTTTTAATTTTTATTAGTTCATTTAAAAAATGAATAATATATGAACATAGGAAGCTTCAAAAGGTAAAAGATGATATACTGTCTAAATGTCCCTCCTTGGTCTTCAGTCTTCTCTCAAAGATAATCACTGTTATGAGTTTCTTACAATATATCCCAAAAATAGTCACAGCCAGTGTGAGAATATATGTGGATAGGTATATTTATATATGTTTGTATTATGTGTTTGCATATAAACAGAAATCGTAACATGAAGAAAACATCCCACACAGTCCTGGACAGTTGGGTTGTCTCACAACCAGATTTCTGGCAGCAAGAGGAATGACTTTTCCTGGGGCCTAAGGGGTGTCCCCAGTGACAGATGGCTGTAGCACTGGCTCTATGGGCCACCCACTCCCAAATAGTTTTTACTGCCACTCACTGAGGCATGGTAAGCCAGCCTGTTCCCATTTTACCATGGAAGAAGAACTCAGTGAAAATAAAGAATTAGAATGGAGTAAAATAATGATGACGGTACCCATATCTGGTAGTTCTTTGTAACTCACTTAATGACTACCAGTAAAGCATTCCCTTTTTGATAAAGGGAATTAGAAGTCTAGGACTTAGGGGGCATTCCCAAATCAAAAAAGAAAGCTCTGGAAGTAGACTTTTGGGTCTACTCTGCCTGCTGTGATGATCGTCATGGGCCACATGGGCCGTTGCTCACACTTGGAGAGCTACCATCTGAAATAAGGAGGCCAGAGGAGCGACTTGGCATCTTTGAGCTGCACAGAGAGGGCTGTTGTTGAGGGGGTTTGTGATAGTGGATTGAGAGAGGTGGAGGAGGAATATTTAGGCAGTCTCTATGCCTCCCTAAGGAGAGGTGGAGAGGAATATTTGTAGGAAGAGAAGTTTCCTGAGGCACCAGAGTTGATTGCCCTTTGGTTCTGCCATCTGGGGACTGGAACCCTCCCTCCACTCTAGGAATCCCTCACTACCACTACCACCACCAGCCCTCTTTCAGCTTGGAACTGTTTCCTTTTCACAACAAGGAATTTGTTCATTCTTTCGTGTGTCCATCCATCCATTCATCCATCCACTGATTCATTTATTGAGACTTATAACAGACCCTCTGGGCCAAGAAAAGCATTTGACGCTGGGAGTTCGAAGGTGTAGATGCTGAGGGTTCCAAGGTGTGGATGCTGAGCGTTCTTAGGTATAGATTCTGGGGGTTCCAAGGTGTAGATTGGGGCTCCAAGGTGTGGATGCTGAGGGTTCCCAGGTATAGATGCTGGGGGTTCTGAAGTGTAGATGCTGGAGTATAGATGATAAGTTCTGAAGCAAACCACACCGTAGCCCTGCTCTCACTGCCCTGACTGGGATTATTAATGGGGGTACAGACAAATTACGGGTGGTTAGGGACAGTGTGAGAAGTGTTGTGACAACAGAGATGCTGAGTGCACAGAAGACAACGGGCCACAGTCCAGCTTGGGGTGCCCATGGGAAGACTGCTAGAGGTATAGCCAGGTTTGGGGAACATTCCAGCAGAGGGAGCAGAAGATACCCAGTGGTGGGAAAGAGCTGGCTCCTTAGAGGAATGACAGGCTGTTAACCTACCCAGAATGTCAGGTATAAGAGGCAGCCCAGATAAAGTGCAGGGCCAGAGCAAAGGGGTCTTGTCAGGCCAGGAAAGGGTGTAGACTTGACACTGGGCAGTGTGGAACTATTGAGGCTTCATGAGGACTCAGTCTGGTGGTTTTGTATTCAGAAAGCTTGGGATAAAAGCCACCAGGTGTGTGCTTTGCCATCTTCGGGCCTTACAGCAGAGCAAAGCATGGCTGCTGGAGGGAGGTCATGTCCATATGTCTGAAGAGTCCCATGGTTCCTTCAGGGCCCAGCACTGTGGGAGAGGAGATCCACATTCCAAGCTGGGCCCTGCCTGGCTCAGCCTCACAGAACAGAGTCAAGCCCAGGCCCACAGGGGAGTGTCTGTTGCACCCAGCACGGAATTTTCCTCTCGGAGCTCCAGCCAGTTCCTTGCTGTTATTCAGTCACTGTGGGTGAGCTTGGGGAATTCCAGAAAGGTTAGACGTCAAAGAGCAGCCCTGATGTTAAAGGGTCCTCCTTGCCTTATGCCTGCATCACTCCAGGGTTTGGCTCAGCCACTTGCTTACCTGTGGGGGTCCTTGTCCATCACCTCCCTTCTCTGTGAGGGTCAAAGCTTCCCCCAAGTTCACAGAAGCCATTCTCTCCCCTTCACAACCAAGCTACATCTTGCAGGCTGCCATGGAAGGCCAAGGTGCAGGTGCCTCTCCTGCAGAAAGACATCCTGACATCCTGACCAATGACAGAGGCCTGTACCTACCCTGAAACCACAGTGCCTGACAGCTGAGAAAACTGGGGAAATATAACAGGGCTGGATTTCTCCTTCCATAAAATTACAGTATCAGTTCTATTTATTACACTTGGTAAATATACAGGGGTCAGATAACAGGTTTATATCATAGGCTTGACAGTTCTTGGGTCCTTTACATTTGAGTAGGGCTTCCTTGGGGCGCCTGGGTGGCGCAGTCGGTTAAGCGTCCGACTTCAGCCAGGTCACGATCTCGCGGTCCGGGAGTTCGAGCCCCGCGTCGGGCTCTGGGCTGACGGCTCAGAGCCTGGAGCCTGTTTCCGATTCTGTGTCTCCCTCTCTCTCTGCCCCTCCCCCGTTCATGCTCTGTCTCTCTCTGTCCCAAAAATAAATAAAAACGTTAAAAAAAAATTTTGAGTAGGGCTTCCTTTAGATGTGTTGTCTAGGGAAGACATTTAAGGACCACTCCTCCCCACCGCACCCCTCACCAAATCCCTTAGCTGTTCTCATCACATTCTAGATTATATTGTAATTATTCCCAAATGGGGCCTATCTCCCCGCCCCCAGGAGGTTTTAAACTAGGCAAGGGCTGGAACTACATCACACTGATCAGATCTACTCAATGGGAAGATTCAGGGAGGAAGTGAAGTATCTTATCATATGCCCTAGGGATGGAATACAAATACCCTGTTCTTGTATAAAAGGCTGAGTTAAGCAACTCATCAGTACAGGCCAGGCCAGGACTCCTCCGCACTTGTACTAATGATCTAAGGTTGAGTGCTACCCTGTGTAAAGATGGCTACTGATGATGATGATGATGATGATGATGATGATGATGGAGATAGTCAACAGGTCCATGGCAGGTACTGTACAAGCGCTTTAAGAGCTTCTTCTCGTTTATTCCCTCAACAGCCATATCAAGTCAATAGTATTACCCCCATTTTATATCTGGGAAGTTGAGTTCTAGAGACTTTGCTACTTGCCCAAGCAAGAGCTATTAAATGGCAAAGCTGTGTCTCAACTTCATGCCTAGTGTCTGAAAAGTATGGCCTGAGTTCTTCCCCACTCTGCCTCTTGGGGGACATCCTGTCAAAATGGTTGGTCCTGACTGGGTGCTCTGTCTACCATTGCACAGTGAGTGGAGTGCAGAGCTTGGATTTCCAGGTTCCAGAGAATTGTGTGTGTGTGTGTGTGTGTGTGTGTGTGTGTACGCACGTGTGCGTGCATGTGTGGGGGTACATACATGAGAAATAGCAGCAATTAAACAAGTGTATGTGGGTGTTCATGGTCAGCAGCTTGACCACAGTATTTAGTTGTATGTGTACCAGGCCTGGGAGGAGAAACCCCATCAGAGGTGACATGGGTTAAGACAGGAGCATGACTAGGGGGCATCCGGGGTGGTTTTGGCTTGTAAGGGCCCTTTGGGCTCTGTGGAGTCCAGCCTGGGACAAGTGGGCAGCATCCCCAGCCTCTCTGCACCTGCAGAGGGTCCAGGTCAGTCCCCTGTGATAACGTTACCTTCTGCCAAAGGTGTTTTTCAGAGGCATCACCGTGAACGCTGTGCGCGGCTTCCCCATGAGCGCCGCCATGTTCCTCGGGTATGAGTTCTCGCTGCAGGCAATCCGCGGGGACCACGCCGTGACTAGCCCCTGAGCGCCAGGTCAGTGTGCTTCCTTCCCAGCCCGTTGTACCTCCTGGGAGCTTGACCCTGTCTTCTTTGCCATGAACACGTTGTGACTTTCTGAAACATCCCTGCCATTTGTTTCCTCTCTGATCCGTGTGAGTTCTGGGGCTACGGTGGCCAACCTTCTTGTCATCAAAAAGCCCTTCTGAAATGCTCGCCTGTGACTGGTGGTGAGCTGGGTGCTCGCGAACTGAGATGGGCACAGAATTTCCCTGTTTATAGTAACTCGCCCATCTGTTTTCCCATCCAGCAGCTTCAACAACCCTTGAAGGGAAGTGTGTTTCACTTTATTATACAAATTCAGTGGCCCAGGCCCAGAAGTGAGGCCTTAAGTTAGAGTGTCCACCCCCTGCCACAGGGCACCATCTCTCCATCTTCCTACTGGACTCAGATCGTGAGTCTGAGAGCCAGCGACGGGCTCCCACAGCCCTGGAGGACAGCCTCTGTCCTTGTTTCCTGCCTCCCCCCTCTTTCTTTCTCCCCCTCTCATTGCAGAAAGATCACTACAGCCCAAGGGATCTAAAAAAAGAAACCTGACCAAGTGACTCCCTCAGTCACATGCCCTCTGTGGCTCCCCATTGCCCTTTAGGTAAAGCGTTAGTCCTTAACCCGTCATCACCAGCACCCTAAAATAATTTTCTCACTCTTGCCTCTGGATCTTTGCACATGCTGTCCCTGCCTGACCCCCTTTTGTCACACCCTTCCTCTTGTCCTTGGCTTTACCAACTCCTCTCTGTCATCTGGGCTTTGGTCAAGAAATCTCTTCCTCCAGGAAGCCTGCCCCGATGCCTCCACTAAGATGAGTTGTGCCTGCTGTAGGCGCTCCCCAACAGCCCCTTCTCAGCCCCTACCACATCCCCTTGCATCATACCTGCTGATGACTCTCCTCACTCCTCAGCCAGCGTGCAGTCCTGGGAGAGCTGCCGCCGTGTCTCTGCCTCTGTGTCACTGGTGCCTCACGCAGAGCCCGACACCCAGATGGCCCCTCAGAAACATCACTGAGAAGACGGGCAATCAAGTGCCAGCGTCCCCTCAGCTCCTCCCCTTCTTTTCCTCCCTGTTTCTCCTTCTCTGGCTCCACACTGGTGTCCTGCAGAGCTGAGAAGACAAGGTGGAACGAGTCACTGAATTTTCTAGTCAACAAGAAACCATTTTGCTTCAGCCTTGGCGACTACGAATTCTCTCAAGAAGGATGGCTTTTGTCAGAAAGGTCTCACAGTCCTCTCTGCTGCCTTCCCTGGGCCAGCAGAGGCCTGCTAGCATTCGTGGACGGGCCCAGACCCTAGACCCAGGGGAAGGGTGTGATGGATCAGGCCGATGAGACTGAGCCCAGGACAAGGCTTAGAATGCCGGCTTCATCAGATGATTTAGCTTTTCACTAAAGCACCCACATTCACAGCTCTTCCGGCTTTTGGCTCTCTCTTACAAAAGGAAAAGAGTAGTAACACATTTTGCATAATTAAACGTCTTGAGTGGGTTTTGTCCAGGGCGAGGAAGAAGAACGGCCTGGTTCGTAAAGCTTTGCTCAGATATCAGCTGTTCTCCACCTTGAACAGGTGAAAATAGCTTTCAAAAAAAAAAAAATCCTATCATAAAATCCGTGCCTCTTTATTGCAGAAAAAATAGAAAATACAAACAGAACACAAGAAAATAACCTATTTTCTGCAATATTTTGTAACTCATCCTTCCCATTTAATAGTTCAAGACCATTTTTTTCCATGTCATTAAATATTCAGCAGCAAGGTGGTTTTTGTGCCAAGACCTGGCAGATCCCAGAGTGGCTGGACGCTTGCCTGAGCTGTCACACCCGGCAACTTGTGACCGCCCTGGTGGTTGGCTACTTCTGGAGGAAGGAAGAAGTTTCTAGCAAGCCAAATTCTGATCATCCTGGATTTAGCCTTTCAGAGCAGCGACCACCCCAGTTGGAGGCCACCCTTTCCGGAAGTACTCTCACGGTACAAGAGGCACAGATGTGTGTCAGCCTTGCCTCTGCTGGAGTGAGACAGGAGGCTGTGGCCCCCCGGGTGGAAGAAGGGGTTTCCCAATGACTTTTCTGGAGCCTCATCTTGAACAAGCCTTCAGTTTGTTTCAACTTCCTGCTCTAACCTAACAGCCCCAAGGTCCTTTATCGAGCCCTGGATTTGAATTTGCTGAGTAGCTCTGAGATCATGGGCAGGTCCTCTAGGCAGCAGCAGTAGCATCTACTCTTTGAAGACTTGGAAACCAGTGCCTCCCTTGTGATCTAGACGGGGGGCAGAGAGAGGTGGTGTATGTTAGAGAACCGCAGAGCCCTACGGTCCCTAATCGGTGGCAGGAGGGTGCCCATCTTGAGTCCCTGGGTGCAGGTGGTAGGATGGCATGGAATGGTTTCCATTGTCTACACTCCACCGGAGCAGCATCCAAACCACAGTACCTACGGCCTCCTTCTAACAAGCAGGGGCAGGGGCAGAGCTCTCCCTCAGCCCCCACCAACTCCCCTGGAGGAGGAACACTTCACTTTCATTTATCCTCTCCCCCAATTCACACACACGAGTGAACCAAGGACAATGGCAAATCCAGTAAGTGGGGCGTGAGGTCATTGTTTGGGATGCGGCTAGTTTGACCTGTTCTCAGGGAGTACCAGACTCAGACAACATGAGAAAGATGACCCCGGGTGGTAGAAGTGGGGTCCCAACCCTGCTCAGAAAGTCAGCTCTTAGGTTTGTTGGAAGCCCATGAGTCCACCTGGGCCATCCCCACCGTCCCACCAGGATCTCCTATCCCAGAAGCTTCCTGGAATAATGCTGGTCTGCCTCCTGACTTGACATTCTTGCTCTACACCTCATGGATCTACTTTTAAATCCTGGAAAGTCCATTTCCCAGGAAATAAGATACATTCTTCCTATAATACCTTTTTTTGAGCATTTATAGATGACCTCAGACAACCTCCTAGCCCCTCACATCTGCCCTCATGGTGATGCCCTGCCAACTCT